TCTTCTAAGTCCACCATCTCTTCTTCACCCTCTCACTACCTAACTTCTCAGTATCAGCGGACTACGACAGAGAGAGAGAGTTGTGACTTGAGACTTGACGACATTGGATCCAGACTCGACACTGGGATTCAGACATTTTGACGAGGGACTATTTGGGCCTTGTGCCGAAGACTTGGTGTTGACGACATTCCCATCTTCCCCTCTTCTTCGCCTAACCCCCCTCTTCTTCGTCTGTGTATGGTTGGGGACTGGCGCATTCTTCCTGTGTGAGCGCCAGGCCCCTTCACACCATGGAGTGATGATGATGATGTATGTTCGGGTCTGCATTGCAATATTGATTGTTCGGATCACTGGTATCTAAGTCTTCCGCTACGCTATCTTGTGCTTTGTGAGAGAGGTCGGTTCTTGTTCTGGCCTGCACCATTACAGTATGCAACATGGACTGATGGAGGACCAGCTACATATAGCGCTGGTCCCCGAAGTCCAGCCTTGAAACTGGTGCCTAAACTGGGGGCCCAACTGATGCGAAACTCGGCCTGGGTCTGAAACTATTGGCGCCTAACCGAAAAAACGGCACCCAAACGAACAGAGGCCTGGTGCCAAATCGGAAGGGCGCCAGGGCCTCGCCTAACCTGCTACCGGCCTAACTGGGTCCTAACCGAAACGGAACCCGCCTAACGTCATGCCACCTACCCTAGGCCCGATACTGGTCCTGAGGACCTCAAACAAGGTGGCCCTAAAATAGGCCCTGTTAACTCCCTAGTCCCCTATCCTATGGGCCCTCCCGCAGGGGGACCCTCCCAGCCGCGTCACCCAGGATTTACCAGGACTTCTAACCGAGCGGTGCCGCTCTGGCCGAGTGTGCTAGCCATACGTCTCGCGAACCCCTACGACAGGATAGGGTCACGCGAGGTACAACTTATCTCCACCTGTGGGAGCTGTCACCATCCCTTGGGCGTATCCCCGCCGAGCTACTGAACCACGTGTGACAGCTTCTCCGGTGCAATAGCGAAAGTGGCCCAACCTAGGGCGTTTCTTGTTCGCTGTAGCATAGGGGGTACGCGCGGTTAACGCCTTAATCAGACCTGTACGCGAACCCGTTACTTGGGGCGCTGATGGCCGGGCCCTGCGGAGGGCCCGTGTGGAACTGGGAATGCCACACGTGCAGACACAAGGAAAAAGAAAAACATAAAACTGTGGCCGTAGGATTGCCAATCCAATGGATCAACTGAAGAAGCCTGGGCCTCTTCATCACCAGCGCTGCCATAAAAGCTTAGTGGTGGATTTAACAACATCGCACCGAGTGGGGTTGAACACATAACTGAGGTCGGCGGTGTTTCTTCAGTCCAAAACAACACCCAAGAAATGTTGTACAGCTTATTGAGCTATAGGTGATTGTTACGTGGACAAGGTGAGGGATGAAGATAGACTGTCGGCACAAGCATCCAAACCACTGAGTGAAACGAGTTACGTGGGGCAAAAGAGCACAAAATGAGCTCAGCAGGCTCGTTTCTTGTTCCTTTTGCGGCTTTTGCCCCTTCTTTTTCTTTTTCCCTTTTATATTTTCTGTTCGTCATCAAGCTCTCAGCGTTCAACTCAATTTTGACACTGTCACTCCGTCAACATCCAACACAGCTTTGACTTCTGCCACTCCCTCGACATTCAACAGACCTTTTGACTTTGACGTCCATACTCTGTTTGACCTTTCATTCTTTTAATACACTCTCTTCGACTTCCGTTACCCCCATTTACTTGCGTTCAACACATGGCAGGTCCTTGCGTATTTCCCTCTTCTTTTCCAACACCCATCTGTGGCCAGAGCTGTCGCAGAATTGTCAGAATTTTGCACCGAAGAAACAGACCAACATTGGGTCAATAAAAGTGAGCAACTTTTTATCACTTAAGCTTCATGCATGAACACATGTAAAGGAATGAAGGTCAGAAAAGTCAATCACCTCCATCTCTTTCACAGCTGCATTATGCTTGTTCATCATCTCCATATGCTCATGTGTGTGCGTCAATGAGTTCCCCGATGAGACCACGCCTGTCTGCTTTCCATCAACCAACAGCAAAAGCACACAACATCCCAAAGCATCAAACTTCCCAGCACTCCCATTTATTTCCTGTGTCAAATAAAAGCAAGGGATTTTTCTCCTCTTGTTCTTGTTCTTCTTTTTCTTCTTGTTCTTCTTGTTCTTCTTGTTCTTGTTCTTGTTGTTCTTCTTCGTCGTCGTAGTCGTCTTCCTCCTCTTCTCACATAAGGGATTTTTCTTCTCCTGCTCTTCTTCTTCTTCTTCTTCTTCCTCGTTCTCTTCCCCTTTCTTCTTCCACTTCATAATCTTCTTCTTCCTCTTCTTCTTCTTCCTCTCCTTCTTCCTCTTCCTCCTCTTCCCCTTCTTCTTTATCTTCGTTTTCCTCTTCCTCTTCTTCCTCCTCTTCTTCTTCCTGTTCTAGTCTTCTTCCTCTCCTTGTTCCTCTTCTTCTTCCTCTTTTTCTTCGCTGTCCTCCTCCTCCCCTTGCGTTCTTCGCCTCCCCCTCCTGCCCATCCTCTTCCTATTCATCCTCCTCTTCCTTCCTCATTTCCTCCTCCTCATCTTGGTTACTACTATTCCTCACCCTTCTCCTTTTCCTTCTCCTTCAAGACCATTCTATTACCGCAGCTAGATAAACAGAAAATACCTAGGATATGATCCCGGCGGCCCGGGCACCCGCTACCTTGCCCGGAACCCGCCTGGTCCGCCCGGCCAGTCCAAACCCGGGCCCCCCAGCGCAAAATCGGCCGCACGGTCGTTTGGGGGTTTTCTCGGCGCTGGGTCACAGGGATGGGCGTGCCTTTGCACAAGGCGCCGAAAAATAAAAAGGGCCCCACCAGGCCTCTTTTTTTTTATCAATCTAATCTCAGCCGTTGATCCTTGACGATCAACGGCCCAGGGTCAATTGGGGTTCAGGTTTGAATTCCGCCCCCCGCTTTGAGTTCGAACTCCCCACTGCCGGCCCCTGCCGCTGCCCTCCCGCGCGTCCTCCAGTTGCTGTCGTCATCGTCGAGCTGCTGCCCCTGCGTGTTCGTCGTGGTGTCCATCTTCATCGAGCCGCTGCCCCCGAGTGTTTGTCGTTGTGTCCATCGTCATCAAGCTGCTGCCCCCGCGTGTCATCGTCGTGCCGGCCATCAAAGAAGGTGAGTGCTTCGAGTCGTCGTCCTCGTGCTGCTCCGCTTTCTTTTTCCTCCTCCTTTCTTCGCCGTCGTCCTGCTTTCTTCGCCCTCGTCCTCCTCTCTTCCTTCTCCTCCTCCTCCTCCTCCTCCTCCTCCTTTCTTACTTCTCCTCCTCCTGCTTTCTTCTCCTCCTCCTGAGTTATTCTCCTCCTCCTGAGTTCTTCTCCTCCTCCTCATTCTTCCCCTCCTCCTCCTCCTTCCTACTTTTCCTTTCTTCCTTTCACTTCCCCTTGTACTCCTCCTCCTTCCTTCTTCTCCTCCTGTTCCCTTCCTTTCTTCATCGGTTTTTAATTTCTAATTTTTTTCTTTGTTTGTTTGTAAGTCACTTCGCGTTATCGTCGTCATCATTTCTTTCGGCCACGTGGCGATGGCTTCATTGGCTAGTAACTTAGGAGGAGGAGAAGGAAGATAGGAGGAGGAGGAGTAGAAGAAGACGAAGGAAAAAAGGTGACGGCGAACAAGAAGAATGAAGAAAGGAGGAGGGGGAGGAGGAGGAGACAAAGTAAGAAAGAGGATTACAGATGGTGCCACGTGGCGACAGGTTGATTGCTTGGGAACTTTGGAGGAGGACGAGGGAGATGGAAGGAGGGGGAGGAGGAGGAGGAGGAGGAGAAGGAAGAAAGGAGGCGGAGAAGAAGGGGGGGCCTTCTTTGTGTGAGGACGAGGGGGGAAAGGAGAAGAAGAAGGAATAAAGGTGGAGGACGATGACGTACAAGAAGAACGAAGAAAGGAGGGGAAGGACGAGGAGAGGACGAGGAGGGGGAAAGGTGGAGGCGAAGGAGGAGGAGGATGACGAAGAAGAAAGGAGGCGGAGGAGGAGGAGGAAGAAAGGAGTAAAGAAGGAGGATGACAATGGAACTCCAGCGCTGCAGAACAACCTTTCTTCGTCCTCGTCCTCCTCTCTTCCTAGGAGTAAAGAAGGAGGATGACAATGGAACTCCAGCGCTGCAGAACACCCCCCCCC